AGTCTTGCAGAGGTCTGGGCATGTTAAATGATTGATTATTTGCATTGTAGAGCACAGGACTGAGGCTCTATTGTGCTAGGTGCTGAATGCACACAGAACAAAATGACCAGTTTTGCCCTCGGTACCATGAAATTGGAGAAGAGCCTCTTTTCTAATAGATTTATACATGCTCAGTGTGATAGAGCAGCATATCAAATCACAGATACATTTTTTTAATAGCAGATGAAGTACAAGTAAAGGTCATATTTGTGTAGCGTGCATTTGCTTAATGCCTGGCATGGCAGAGCACAGTAAACAGTGCATGAGTGCCTGGATGAGGGATCAGTGTTCACGCTTGGAGCTGATAACAGTGACTATATGTATTTTTAGCTGTGTTTCTCTGCTCCAGGCCTCTGGTCAGTGCTGCATTGCCACTGCCAGATGACTTGGGTTTGCTGCGCTCCTTTGATCGCTTTGCCAGCAGGACATCTGGCTCCTTTCCCTCTGCCAGGGTCCCAGGATCATGGTGAGGTTCTCACAGTTATTTGTGTCTATCTTTTACTCTTTACAAGTAGCCTGAGAAATTAATGATTCCTCCCTTCCCTGCAGATGTGGGTTTATTTTGGGGTTTGGAGTGTGGTTTTGGTAGGGTTTTGGGGTTTTTTTTCCTTCTTCCAAGGGGCCTGCAGGCAAATTCAGCCCTACACCAGTGATGTTAGGTTCTCTACAGGCTATCACAAAGCCTGCTGTTGCTGGGCAATTTGGGATAGTCCATGAAGTTGCAGTGCTAGTGGGTTGTTCTGTAAATATAGGTGGTGCTTGGTGTACAAGTTGGAAAGGATTGGTCCCAGCGGGATGCCTAGAGCTCAGAAAAGACTAAAATTGGTTCCTGTGGGAGTTGTTGTGCACTTATCCTCTCTAAATGCTCCATCTTGGACACAGAGAATCATAGAATTGTAGAATACCAGGTTGGAAGGGGCTTGTAGAGTCACCTGGTCCAACCTTTTCTGGTAAAAGCACGGTCTAGACAAGCTCTCCCAGCACACCCTGTCTAGCTGAATCTTAAGTGTTCAATGCTAAGGACTCCACCACTTCCCTTGGGAGGTTATTCCAATGACTGATTGTTCTCATGGTAAAGAATTTTCCTCTTGTGTCTAATTGGAATCTCCCCATTGTCTTTTCAATGGGATCCTTGTCAAAAGGGAGTCTCCATCCTCCTCCTAGCCACCCTTTAAATGGTGGCAACATGGTGGTGAGGTCTCCACTAAGCCTTGTATTCTCAAGGCTGAACAAACCCAGTTCTCAGCCTTTCTTCATGTGACAGGCTTCCCAGCCCTTGGATCATCTTTGTGGCTCCTGTCTGGGCTCTCTCCAGCCTGTCCACATCTTTTTTTTTTTTTGTATGGCAGGGACCAGAACTGGACAGAGTTCCAGATGTGGCCTGACCAGCGCTGAGTAGAGTGGGACAATGACTTATCTCTGCAGTGATGCCCTTGCTGGTGCACCCTCCACCCCGTTGGCTCTCTGCTGCAGCAGCACACTGGTCGCTTATATTGAGCCTGTTGTTCACCAGGACCCCCAGGTCCTGTTCCATAGAGCTGCTCTCCAGCCAAGTAAGTCCCAGCCTGTACTGCACTCCTGGATTATGTTGGCTCAAGTGCAAGACCTTACACATGAGGCTTTATTCTTGCAGCACAAACTTGGTCTGTGACTCTGAAGTGTTTAACTATAGTTGATGTCTTAGAGCAATAAGGGGGTTTAATTTTTTTTTAATTACTTCTAGCTATTTGACAGGCAGGAAGCACCTTGGAAGATGAATAACTAGTTGTCATGCCTGGGTTGCTCTTCAGTAGGAAATAAATACAGTTCAGAGTGCTCATAGTAGCTTGTGTTGCTGGAGACAGTCATAGACTCACTATGGCTGGAAAGGACCTCTAGGATTGTGAAGTCTAACTACCATCCCAACATTTCCCTAACCACTAGACCATAGCTTCAAGTGCTACATCTACTCATTTTTTCAACGCCTCCAGGGATGATGACTCCACCATCTCCCTGGGCAGCCCGTTCCAGTGCCTAACCACTCTCAGTGCAGAAATTCTTCCTAATAGCAAATCAAAACCTTCCCTGGAGCAACTTGAGGCCATTTACTCTCAAATTAATAATTTGTGAGAAGAGGTCATTGCTCAGTCTCCTCTTCTCCAGACGAAACAACCCCAGGTCCCTCAGCCAGGCTCCATAAGGGATGTTTTCCAGCCCTTCACCAACCTCGTTGCCTTTCTCTGGATCTACACCAGCACCTCAAGGTTCTACTAATCCTGTGGTGCCCAAAACCGCACTCAGGACTCAAGGTGAGGTCTCACCTGTGCTGATTCCAGGGGTGTGATCACCTCACTGTTCATGCTGGTCACACCAGCTCTGATCCAGGCCAGGAGGCCATTGGCCTCCTTGGCCACCTGGGCACACTGCTGGCTCATGTTCAGTCAGCTGTCCACCGAGACCCCCAGGTCCTTTTCCACCAGGCAGCTTTCCAGCCACTCCTGTCATCTGCCACACTGAAGTGCAGTAACTGGAGTGTCAGTGTCCATGCCTGGACAGCTGCTGAGCAACGTGTTTCTTGCTGAAGCCAGTCTGCTGCTCTGTGGACAGGATCTCCTGCCAGCCAGCTGGGATCACAGCTTGGTTCCAAGTAGTACTTTGAGGGCTTCATGTCAGCGAGAAATGAGAGACCTGCACGTCAGACTGCGCAGGCCTGAGTGGGCACTTACAGCAGTCACAAGCTTTTCAAAATATTTTATTGTTTCGTGTCCAGTCCTGGTCCAGTCACAATCTGAACTTAAAATGAGTTTTGATTTACTCAGGAAAAATTCTTTCTTGAAGTCCCCCAAACTGAAACATTTTAGGAGAAGCCTAAAACGTGGGCACAGGTAGCACAAGAACCCGCATCTCCTGTTTCCCATTGCAGGCCAACTTCCGTGGCCTGGGAAGCAAAAGGCTTTGACCGATTCTGCCTTAAACATGGAAAAATTTTGGCCAAGTGACTCATTGTTTCATATTTGTTTGTATTGCTATAGCACTTGAGGCTCTTAAGGTTTGGATCCAAGACCTTGTTGTGCCAGGTGCTGTGTGAACATGAAAAAAAAAAAACAAACAAACACAACAAAAAGGCCTTGTGAGGCAGAACATGATTTTCTGGATAACCCAAGACAACAGATGGCTACAGATGGGGGAGCACGAGGAACTGATGAGATAATACTGACCTGTGCAGTGAGTAATAGTCTTGGTACATCACTTATCTAAACATTACTGAGGTTTTATAGACAGTATAGCAACGGGCAGTTTGAAGGAGAAGTTTACAGCAACGTCACAGCAGAGGGAGAAGAGGTGCTTGAGGAAAGATGTTTGCTGCAAAATCTGGTTAACAACTTAGAGGCTGTGCTCGTGTATGAGAGTGCCTGTGTGGGAGCAAAAGAGAGACAGCAACTATTTGTTGGAGCAGGGAAAGTAGAGCCAGTGGGGAAAAAACCTACAGGCAGGCTACAGATTCAGAGTCTTGACCTGGAACTTTCTTCTGGTGTGTTTACTACTAGCAACTCAAAGAAAAAGATGGTGCTGTTTCTTTGGATCATAACCTTTCATCATCATGTGACAGGAGGGACCAGATGAGTGAGGCAGAATGTGTGTGTTCCTTTATTTGCAGCACAGATGCCTCCATAAAGGGCAAAGGAGAAATGCTGCATTTTGTAGCATTGTTTATTTAAACTTCAGTTTAACAAAATTATCCTGTGGAGAAACTTCAGCAAACATCCTCTTCAAGTTGAAAGCTTGCAGAGCAAGATGCAAGTCAAATGCCAACTCCAGCAATTAGCACACATCTTTTCCTTTGTGTTAAGCTGTACTTAATCTCTGCTGATCAGGTTCTTTTTCTCCTACGTGCTGTCTACACCTAAAAATAATGTTGTTAAAGATGTACCAAAGACAGCAGCTGCCCAGTCCATGTTTTTTCTGAAGCAGCTCATGCTCTTCCCGACCATGGTTTGCTTCCCATGCAGCACAGAGGAAACACAACTGCACAACATCTGTTTGGGAAACTCCCACTGGCTTGAAGATGTCCAGGAGCCCAAGTGCTCCTAGCCCACAGTGTAAAAGGTATTGCTTGGAGTGCGGCTTCCCAACAGTAAAAATAAACCTTTCAAAGGTGTTTTACTGTTTGATGGGAAGGTTTCTTATGAAGGAGGTGGAGAATGGAGAAGGTTTTTGTGTCCTGTGTGATGATGATCATGGCGTGAGTGGACAGCAAGAGAGGATGTACTTAAATAAACCCCAGAAGATTGTTGGAGAAATAGCTTTGTGAGAGGAGATGCATTGGTTGCTTTCACATAAAATGATAGCCCAGATGTGTTCTCTGCAGTAGGGAGGAGCCCTTTTAGCTGAACCATTTTTAGCTGGGTGGAAAGATCCCAGTTCTTTATCTCAAAGGCTCTTGCAGCAATAAACTTTGGGCTTGCCACTAGAGGGGGACTGCATGCCACGCACAGTAGATCCATGCTGCTGGGCTGCACCAGCCCAGCAACTCCAGCAGAAGGACCCTCTCTGCTCTTTTGAGCTCTGGGGTGTCACAGCACTCATAAAGATCAGACCTTGCAGCCAAACAAACATGAAGGCATGTGGGCAAGGGGAGCCTGACTGGTGATGTGTCTGGGTGCTTCTCCAGTGATCTGGTTCTGCAGAATGTCATTTTTCATTCCTACACAGCTACAAAAAGTGTCCTGAGGATGAATGGTGTTCGGTGAGAGCTCAACAACATTTGTGCAACCTCCCTGCGTCATGGAGAGGTGTGAATAGGATAGGTCCTTTCCATAGCTGGATGAAGGAATATAGCAGCAGCATACCCAGCAGCACCATTGAACTGGTCAGATGGAAACAAGAGTGCTTCTAGGTCCTGGGAGATAAGCAAGGCCTTCACCTATAACTGATTCCCTTGTGTGCTGGGTCTGACTTGCCCATTTCTTGTCACCTTGCAGAGCTTTTACCCACGTGTTCACCTTCGGCCCGACATTCCGAGCGGAAAACTCGCAGAGTCGCCGGCATCTGGCGGAGTTCTACATGGTGGAGGCTGAGCTGGCCTTCACTGAAAGCCTCCAAGACATCATGCAGGTGGGCACTCCAAATGTCTGTACAGGACCAGCGCCAGAACTTCTTCCTTCTCCCTGTGCTCTCCTCCCGGCCCTCAACTGAGGTCGCAGCTCCTGTGAGCCACATAGAGGCTGCACAGGGACTTCCCAAGGATCAGGGTTTGCTTAGCAGAGGTGAGGCTCAGAGAGGATTTGGAAGGGAAGATGAAGGTCTGAACACAGCCCTCATGTGAATGAGAGGCTGCACAGTTGCTGTATTGCCAGGAGGTGTGTAAACATGCTTGACTGGTGCTAATGAAAGTGGCCCTCTCCCCTTCAGCATCTCTCCAGTGAATCCAAGTGGTGTTTCTACAGTGTGTCCCTTGATGTGCTCTAAAAGAGCTCCCTGAGAGCTGCATTGAAATCTCAAGTCGAAACAGCAGTTCCTGGCATACTCTATTCGCTCTGGCTTTAGCAGGAGACTGAAAGAAACCCTTAGTCAGCTAGCTTTTGATTTTTCAGGGGTGACCTCTCGGTTGCAGTTTAACCACGTGATGGATGCTAATGCATCGTACTAGTCTCGCCATAAGCCAGTTGATGCCCAGTAGGACTTGTGAGTAAACATCCACGCACGCTCTCATGTATCAGATAAGCTCCTTGGAAAGCCATTGGAGAAATAGCCTTAAAAAGAAAAAGACCTGAGGAACTGGCTGCAGATCTATAAGATAACATCGAGGTGGTGGTTTCTTCAGCCTGGGTCATACCCAGTCTGCTGAGTCAGTATGGCCTGACAGCAGAGCCTGACCCATTGGGAAGCTCTGTGCTCCATCCTTAATAGCATCCTGCTCTTTCTTTTCTCTCTCCTTCTCTCAAGAGCAGCTTTGTGTATTCTTAGAGCATAACATGTATACGTTTACGCCTTACTTCCTGAGCCCTCTCTTTCTCTAGGTAATCAGGAGCTGATTGAAGTCAGGAGCTGATTGAAGTCTTCACTGCTTTTATCTAGTAGCATAAGCAGGGTCTTCTGTTAAGTGGTGTTGAACCCTTGAACAGAGCAGGAACGTGTCTATACTCTTGTGCCGAGAACCCTAATTTCTTGGCTTTTGAAATACAGCCAGACAGTTCAAACAGTACAGAGAATTAGATTTGAGAACCATTCTGAAATGGTGTAGGGCTTTTCTTTGTAGAAAAAGAACGAGCTTCCCCCTTGGCTCAGCTTGGCTTTTGTTGTTGCTAAACGTCTTGTGAAGTCTCAGCTTGCGCTCTCCTCTTTGGCCTCTTCCCTCTGTCCCCGCGTCTCTGACAAGCACCTTTCCCTA